TCCACCCTTTCTTTCTTTCTTTCCTGGGGCCTAAGTCAGCATGCTGACGGCCGTTAGCCTTTTGCTAAGCGGCTGTGGTTGCAAACGCCTGTACAGCCTCGTCTAAGGCAATGGCTTCTGCAGTAAAAGATGAAACTGGGTGCCGCAAAAACGTGCCAGACATAGCAAGTGGAAATCTGGCACCCTCCGTGCGATCAGAAACAACACCCTCTAAGTACCATGCGGCTGCCGAGCATGCGCCTGCCAGGGTCTCGCCGTCGACGTGCAGCAGCAGACTAACAGAATCTAAGCAAAAGTCGCCTCTTCCTCCATCTCTGTTCCCCCTCTTCCTCATCAGCATCATGTTCCCCCTCTTCCTCCATCTCCTCCCTCGTCAGCGTCAGCCTCCTCAGCCCTTCTTTGGCGGAATGGGGCCAGCTGGGAGCTCTCATGGAACCATTGTGGGCGGCTTGCGGGTATATTGGGTGCCTCTTGGGCCGCCTTGGACGCTCTGAAGACAACAATTCGAACACAGCTTCAACATCTGACTTGTGACTCTCAGGTGCCTTCGCGCGCCCCCCGGTCCTTCCCAGACCCCCGACGTCATAATGCGTTCATGACGTGACACTCAAAGTCTGGACCCCTTCCTGGGGACCGGTTTTCCATCATGAGTCGTTTTTTGACGGTCCCGAGGCCCAGTGAAAGCCCCCTGAGGCCGAAAATAGCAGCAACAACAACAACAACAACAACAATCATTTAAGACTGGGGACACTCCGTTCTCACCAGCGCCAGGGTTTTCATAGGAGGCGGGCAATACCCCCACTTTGTGGGGGGGCCGGTTCAAGCTCTACCAAATTCCCAAACGACTCTTCGCCACCACCCACACCCAGCTTCCCGCCCTATGACGTTCGGACACTTCACTTCGTGGCATGCGGACGACCGTGGCTACTATTCAGGGCCCCGCGGCCGACGACGACGGCGTGCGCGCGCGAAGAAAAAACGAATGTGTCCCGCATGGTATTATTTGACAGGGATGATGGCCCTGGCAGGTGCGCAACCGTTGTGCAGAAGTTCGAAAAAGTTGCTCGCAAAAGCCCGTTTGACAGAAATGTTTAAAAAGTGTTGGGTTTCCTACGAATCCGCAAGAGCGCGCGGGATGAGATTTTGACAATTTTTTGTTGAAAAACCATTGGTTTTTTGATGTTTTTATGTTAAAATCGCTGCGAACACTAAGGTTTTGGAAGGATTTCGTCTTGCGCGCGCGAATGTCCACTTTACCTTATTTTTTGCAAGGGATTCTTGAAATTTGATTATATTAGAACAAGAAATGTCATTTTCTATTGTTTTTTGCAAGGGAAAGCGGATTACAACAAAACAACCGGATCCTGTACACACCCTCTTTTCTGAGGCTTCCTCACGAAAATGATGAAAATGTAGCTGCGGCCTAGGCGGCGCAGGGGGGGCGCGCACCAGGGGGCCCAACAATAATTATTCTTTAGAATAAATAATGTTCAACAAAAGAAAAAAAACTCCTGGCGTGATTCCTGTAATGACCCGAGGGGGTTTGGGTCCTCTCCCTCCCCCGCGGAGGCTGCCCCGCCTTCCGTGCTCCGCCCCCTCCTCCTCCCAGTCCCTGGCCTCCCCGTTCGCGAGCTCTGCCAGGCCGTCTTGAGGCGAGCCTGGAGACCTCTGGGGACGTCGTGGGCGCTCG